TTTTTTTTTTTTTTTCTGGTTGGTGGCATGCATGCTAGAATTCAGAGAGAAGTTTTGTCAAGATTTTAACTCCAGACCCATCGAATCTCTAGCCGCCTTGCCATTGACCTGCCCTCTCTGTGATCTGCAGAGTTGCTTTGTTAGCAGAAGGTTTCCAACTTTTAACTTACAGTGAACTGCCTCACAGCGCGGCCTCCAGCACGCTTGGGAATCTGAAATTCCTTTAGACTCTGGACTAAATTCTTAATGCCAGGTGCTTGTGATGTGCAAGATTGCTGAAGTAGAGATTGGTAATAGTTACTCAATCTGAATATATGGATCATGTGAAACCCCCGCCCAATGTTTACAGGCTCTACGTGAACTGGAGATTTTTACGAGGCATTGAGGCACAGTTCCTGGCTCTGCAGAAAGGATTTAATGAAGTAATTCCACAGCATCTGCTGAAGACATTCGATGAGAAGGAGTTAGAGGTCAGTGTATTAATGTCATGACATCATTTGGTGTAACAAGGAAAGTTTGGGGATTTTCTGTTAACTTAGTTTTAGAGGAAAGTCGTATTGCTGGTGCTTTTGAAGCTTCACGGTGCGCTGCTATGAGAATTGGTATTCACGGGAAAAGTCTTTCCTGCTTTGGAATTGCTACAAATAAGCCATCTCTCTTACACTGTGAACATTCTTAACTTATTTGGCCATATTATCCTTTCTCATTTTCAACCGATTTCATGTCTTAGGTGTACATTCTTCTAATGTTGTTTTCTCTTCCCTAATTAAGTGGCTGTTGATTTAATTAAATAAAACTTCATTACTTCGTCTCTACCATATTGCAGTTTATTTGAATTAGAAGCCAAGTCTCAATTGGTTTACACTAACTTTTGCGAGAAAGCATTTGATAGTCGAGACCATAGAGGCAGCAGTTAAAACACTGAGGGTAAACTGCATCTAAACATCTTTCCTCTCTTTGGAAATATTCATTACTAACAGTAGCAGTAATAAACAGTTAACTGATTTGTTTTTGTTTTTGTTTTCTTTAAAGCTGGCCCTTAAAGCACCTGTAGTCTGGTTTTATAATTAAGACCTTTAACCAAATACATCTGAATTTCCACTGAACTACTTTGAGAAAACAATGAGGTTTTATTCTTCCAGGGGCATATTTTAATTAGTGGCTAGGGATAGCATAAATATTTGAAATCTACAAATAAATGTAAAACCTGATTTTATTCATTAACTTCAGTGTGCTTTCTAAACTATAAATCTTTTAACAGACCTGTTAGCAAATCTCAAAAGATTGGTTTGATTCAGTATCATCCCCATTCCTTTCATGATTGAGCTATTCCTTAGGGAAATGGCCAGTAGGAAGTGGTCAGGAAGAGGAAGAAAACATAGAAGGAATGGCAGCAAAGTTGAAATACAGTCCATTTTTATCTGTTCATACAACAGATGAGGAGTTTGGCCTTATAATTACCATTCCTCTTAAGAAAAGAATTTAGGAAATATTTTTTGTGATATAAATAACTTCTGTAATCCTATTTGGATCACCACCTCCCTGTTGAGTGTGGCTATGATTCAGTAATCTTTCTAGAACCCTATGAAAGCTTTGGTGGAGGTTTTATTCAGTAGGCCTAAGGCTTATTACATACTTTCTACTGCTAATGAAATTAAAAATTTTTTATTAAAGCATGTGTATGTATGTGTATATATATGTATATATGCATGTATGTGATATGGGATTAGAACTAATTATAAAATATAGGATGTGCAGCTCACATTATGCTTTACATTGTACCCTATCATCTTTCACTTTTCTAAACACATTGTTGAGGTGAGTTAGTCTTGGGTTCTAAGGATATGTGAGTATTGATAGTATCAGAGTGATTTTGATATGGCTCATCTGTGCTGACCCTACATCAGGATGTCAGGCAGAGCTCTCTGTCAGTGCAGTCATGTATTTCGTACTTGGATACAACTTGAAGATGATCAGGACTGCTTATTCAACACCCATTTCTTGAGTTCCTGAGCGAGCAGTACGGTTCTTTCACAGGATGTAGCAGAGCAGAGGAAACCGCTGGCCGAGGGAGGTGAACCGAATTGTCCAAATCCCCAAGCGAATAAGTGTTAAAACCCATAGTAGTATGATGCAGGTATTAAGGAAGGCACATGCAGACCGTATTTACTCTTTGAGTCTAATTTGTGTCCATTAAACAGAATTTAGAATTCTGTGGGAATTTTGAACTTTGATCTTGTCATGTTTGTAAGCGTGGTGGTTCTCAGACCCTGGGGACAGACCTGCAGTAAGTAGGGACCCAGGGAGCTTTTTAAGTCCAGATCCCTCCTGTCGCCCCAGGCTCCCAGAATCTGAACCTCTGAACGTAGGACCTGATGGTGTGTGTATGTTGAAAAGCTTTCCAGACAATTATGATGTGTACCCTTGATGATAAAGAACCGCCATATGAGAGCCAGCACTACAGATCGAAAGTTCTGTTTTGAGGAATTTTTGGCTTGACTTGGATTTCCATTGGCTCATTATTTGTGCAATATTTTAACAGCTCATTATTTGTGGACTTGGAAAGATAGATGTTAATGACTGGAAGGTAAACACCCGGTTAAAACACTGCACGCCAGACAGCAATGTCGTCAAGTGGTTCTGGAAAGCTGTGGAGTTCTTTGATGAAGAGCGAAGAGCACGGTTACTTCAGTTTGTGACAGGATCATCTAGAGTGCCTCTGCAGGGCTTCAAGGCTTTACAAGGTAGAAAAGCCAGAAGAAACACGCGATACGTTGTCCGAGGATTGGGGGAGGGCGTCGATATTTGGGTCCCGTAGTTTACAAGCCATGGGCTTATAAACAGATGTCTTCATTCTGCCTTGTAGCTATAGCTCTCGTATCTTGATACATTCTCCTTCCTTTCCTTTGTTCCCTCCCAAGAGCCTCTGCTGCCGGGGTTCTCTGTGGTTGTAGTGAGTGCTGCACGCTAGAGACCATATGTGACGATGCTTGCCTTTTCTTTTCGGGTTACCATGCCCTTAACTCATATCGCACATTCCCGTAGGGAAAGCCCATCCCCTTCCACCTTCACACCTCAACCCTGCAAAACCTACACCCACTTGGGATGCCTCTTCCCTCTACTTTTTTCTTCTTTTAATAGAAAGAGGCAGCATGAGTTGTGGAAGCTGTTTGGCCAGAGCACTTCCATTATTGCATGGCATCAGACCATTCATTTACAAACCTATTCCACCTGTAAGAATTGTTTTCCATGGAATAGCGGTTTCGTTTGGGGGAGAGTTGGTAATGTTGCTAATGACAGTGGAGCTTCACGCAGGGGCGGCTGCTTCCTTTACCTCCGAAGCTGCTGGCGGTGACTGAGGACGCACACAGCAAGACTGATGCATAATTCAGCAGTGTTGGCCTCAGTACACCTGTCAGAAGTCCATGGGGAAAGCGCACTTGGAGTTGTGCTCACATTCCCCATTTGGAGAGCTCTCATTAGCCGACTACCCAGATGCGTAAAGTGAAGCTGTATTTCTGCATACCCGTTGATGGGGTGTCTTACGTTAACTGAGATTTATTCCATAGGCTGCTAATCTTTTGTTCTCGGCCAAGTTTGAGGCATGAAACCTGAATTTGTATTTAGGTTGTCATCTTTTTGAGTTTGTGTGTGTGTGTGTGTGTGTGTATTTGATCTTGGATTTGTCCATTTACTTTTCTTCTCATGCTTTTGGCACATTGATTTTTTTCAGAAGATAGAAGTTGGTGAAGGATTTCCATCCTGGACTGTTTGTCAAATGAAATGCTAGCATATTAAGGAATCCAGTGTTTTCCAAGGTCATTTCCAGCTTTCAAAACCCAGGTTCTTTGCCTGCTGCCCTTGGCAGCTTATGTGGAGTCACCAGTATCCCCATCCATAGGCCCTGTGGTTTACGTACCAGTTTTCTTGCGAGATTTTGGAGACCAGTGCAGGCAGGTGCGGGGACGTGACCCACATTTACTTGTTTCGCAGGTGCTGCTGGCCCACGACTCTTCACCATACACCAGATCGATGCCTGCACCAACAACCTGCCAAAGGCCCACACGTGGTAAGCTATTTTTGAAGCTTTCCCATCCTTCCATGTACGTGTGTGTTAGTTTTAAACCGATGTTTCATTTTCTGTTCTTATTACTAAAAGGACCTCTAAAAGGAATGATAAGCAGTTTTTAAGTGATTTAAGATTATTCAGAAATTGGTAGGAAAACCCAAAAGTGGCAGTTTCTACTTTAGAGAAATACAGCCTTTTTTTGTAATTTTCTGCGTGTCACAAAAAGTGATATGACCGTATTAGTACACACTTAGGAGGCCAGTTTGCTGACTTTGAATAAACTGCGTTATATCTGATGTGCTTATTTCTAGCTTCAATCGAATAGACATTCCGCCCTATGAAAGCTATGAAAAGTTATACGAAAAGCTGCTAACGGCCATCGAAGAGACATGTGGGTTTGCTGTGGAATGATGAACTTCACGGATTTACCCCGGACTCTATTTATACCCTGACCGACAGCCTCCTTTCAGCAAAGTTGCCCGGAATGCTGAAATACAGGAAAATGCCCCACCCCCCCTAAAAAAAAAAAAAAAAAATGTTTAGGACACTGTGAGGGGAAAGGACAATTTTGAAATTCCTTTTCAAGGAAAAAAGAGGTCTTTATGCTTTGCCATGAGGCCACACTCAGCTGCTATTTAAAATTAATATCTTGAACCTAAAGAATGCTGACTTTTCCTACATTTCCAGAGTTAGGCAGTATTCTACACTTAAAGACTACTACTATTTTTATAAAAAGGTAATCTATTCAGATCGCTCCACAGATTTCAAGTCTCTCAAACATCAAGACAACTCCAGCAGTCGGTACACATCACATTTCATTTGGATCGAATACATGATTTTGAACAGTTCCTGTACTTGCTCTTTGTAAAAAGAAATAAAATTATTTTGAACGATTCTACCTTTGTAAACAATTGGCTAAAGGAATCATTATCTTAAAAAAAAAGCCATTTACACGTTTAATTACATTTTTCTATAGCAAAGCATTATATTTTAAAAGCATTATATGTTTCAACCTAGCCTAAGCGAGTCTTTTGTATTTTTTTCAAGCACGAATTTCCTGGAATACAGCTACATAATTTTGGTTGTCAGATTCCTAATGCAACCATTTAGTCTAAACTTACTAGCTTATTTGATACAGTAAGATGCATTCAGGGCTCCTTGTTTTTAAGAGACTTTAAAAAAACCCTAATTTTTTATCTTGAATCAATATGATCAGGTATTTTGGATTTACTTTTCATCTTAAATGGAAATACTGCATTTTTATTGCTCCTCAGATCATGTAGATGGGATGGGATTTTCATTCTTTTGCTGGGTCAGCTTATCTTTAATACAGATGCTGTTTCTGTAAACCAAAGTCTCCTATAACAAGTGCACCTAATTTATATTATATTTGAATTACGGTCTGAGTTTCTATCAAGTAAACCATCCAGAATCTTTGTTTAGCTGCTCATGATGTTTTAATCAGCTAAAATTACGAAAAAGGAAAAATTTTATATAGCAAGCTTAGAAAATCCTGTTTTTACCTAATAAAGTGGGCATGGGATGGGGCAGGGGGTAGGATTACTGAAGCAATAGTGATTCTGGATCTCTGGTATAAATTACTTTAGAACCGGAGAGTTCACTTGGGAGGTGAGGGAATCCCAGTTCCCTGGGTGTTGATCAGCATCTGATTTTGAAATCTCCAGATTCGGCTTTCAAGGTGTGTGACCCAGAAGGCAGCCAAAGTTCTGGAGTGAGGGATTGAAAAAATCTGAAGTCATGGATGAATTTTTAAATTCAGCTATCAGAAATCTGCACTATATATATACATTTCTTACATTGATGTGAAGCAAGGGCAAATTTTAACAAGAGAGCTCTGTTTAAATTTTGCAGCTTAATGATCAAGTGATAGGTCCTTTGCGTTCTTTCGTTTGATGGATTGGTTTTCAGTCTGTGTCCAGGAGCCAAGGGGTTCCTGCGAGGTGCATCAGAAGTACTGGCTTAAGACAGGAGGGACAGAGAGGGCGAGGAAGGCCTCGTTGGTCTTTGGGCAGGAGCCGCCAGCTCCCCACCCCTACCCCCTTTCCCCAGAGCAGCCCCCACTTTGTCTCTTTTGTGTATTGGGATTCCAAGTAAGCTTTCATGGGGTGGGAGGCTGGGGAGGGGATAAAGGAAGCGGAAATTTTGCCGTTTAAAACAAAAAAAGCTGAGAACTACTTGTGTGGTTTCTAAGTATTTGAATCCATTTCATTCAGCCAGATCGGACTGCTGTGTGCAGGTTAGTCCTAGTCATAACTGTGCGGGGGTAACGTGCTTACGCGGACCTTTTCCTTCCCAGACACTTGGTGTTTCCCCGCTGCGTTGTTCGTAGTACCTGAGAACATCTTGAAATGTACAGAAGAGGTTTCTGAGCTATCGGATGGTCAGTGTTCAGCTCTCACAATAGTACCTTACTGGTTGCAGGTCTGTCTGTCTCATATTAAAGCGCTAGTGCAGCATGATTATGCCCACTCTTCTAATCTTCTAAAAAGTAAGTACGCGACGAACGCTTTAGAGAAATCTTGACTGACAGATGCAGTGATAAATGCTACTGTCATAATGGACAATAAAGCAGGCTCATACCATCGCTTCTGAGTGCCTTTTTAACTTTATAATAATGACTTAATAGAGCTTTAAAAGAAATCTACCCTAACGGTCTATGGTATCACCAACATAATTTATAAAGACACGACCTAGATTTCATTTTCAAAATGAGGTTACCTGATTTCTTCCAAATAGGTGCTAAGCAAACCAAACCCCCCAATGTGTCATTGAATCTTGGACTTGCATCTCGTGTTTTGTTTTGTTTTTTTTTTTAACGTTTATTTATTTTTGGGACAGAGAGAGACAGAGCATGAACGGGGGAGGGGCAGAGAGAGAGGGAGACACAGAATCAGAAGCAGGCTCCAGGCTCTGAGCCATCAGCCCAGAGCCTGACGTGGGGCTCGAACTCACGGACCGCGAGATCGTGACCTGGCTGAAGTCGGACGCTTAACCGACTACGCCACCCAGGCGTCCTGCATCTCGTGTTTAATGTGAATATTTATTTCCACATATCCCTCTTAGCTGGGCTTTTCCCAATCTCTTCCTCTGGCCGTGCTATTTCCGGTATGGGAGGTCACCTTTCTGTAACCCTGCCTTTCCATCATGAATGCTTAAGTATGAACTTTTGAGCGCTCATGTGCAGTACAGAGGTGAGTTTTGTTGCAAAGGGTCTTCTTGATTTTTTTAAATAGTGCTGTGTATAGTGTACATTTTGTTTTGCACATAGTTTGTTGCCCTGATTGGGTTTTATTTTTATCTTTTTTTTTTTTTTTTTTTACCCCCCTACAGTTCAGAGCACAGATTTTCTTTCGTTTTAAATCCAAGGTAATTTGCTTTCTTTTACAACACTAAGTCTGCTTTGACCTTCCAGTGCATTGAACTGGTTGCACTGTTGGGAGTTAGAGATTGTTCGGTCATCGTTACGGTTTGATAGAGCAGCTCTTTTCTGCCTGTTTTGTTCAGCTGCAGCACACGGCCGACAGGTGCCATTTGTGGTATCGAACGTTCTCACGTGAGGGTGATGATTGTACCAAGCGCTGAGTTGTTTTGTTTCTAGATGTAATTAGTCCACTTAATGTAATATTCTTCCTTCTCTCAAACTGACTTTAAAAACAAAGTTTTATTGTTTTCATTGTACTTGTATTTATTACAGAGTGTTTTAGCTTTGATATTCTTTGTATTTTCACTCCGTTGTTACATGAGCTTTATCAATAACATCTGTATAAATGGTTTCTAAAAATTAACTATGTATGTGCCCATGCCGAAGTTGAGCAATAAAATGAATGCTGTTTGCACTGTCACAGCATCGAAGTTTTTAAAGAATACGGAGTTTATAATGAATTGCTTTGGACAAAAAAGCTTCACGACTGGCTTTGCAAAGAGTGACAGCGTATGAGGCATCAAGTGAGGAGTTTAAGGGGATTCACGTGCCTGCCTTAGTTGTGGCCCATGTCGCGCTGCAGCGCTCCGGAGCGCCCGGGACCCCCCGTGTCTCCAGGTGGAGCGGGGAAGGGGCTGGTGTGCTCCTGCCGCGGCACATCGGTGGGCTGGCAGGAGCCGTTGGGAGGCCGTGTGGAGCTGGGTGTCTGAAGCTGCCCTGGGCTCGCTGGGGAGCGGGCCATCCCGTGACCGTGCCTGTCCGGGCCCCTGGGGGGCCTCATTTGCTCCCGTGGCGTTGAGCGGTCAAATCCTCGAAATGAAAAGGAGAAACCAATTACATTTTTCCGAGAAACCAAAACCTTAGGGATCGTGATCCACAGCTCTATAAATGATAGTGGATGAAAGTCCACTAAATATATGGGTGGAAAAAGGAACGGGTGCGATGTTTTCCATGCAGCCTGTAGCCTGTGTGGGTCTCTCCGTAGCACAGGCCACACAGAGAGGAAGGTCGGGAGATGCAGTGTGAGTGGTAGTGGTTTATTACAGTTCACAGGATGGCATAGTGTCCGTTTTTTACATCATTTTGAAAATTTTTTTTTTGCTTTGTCTCACATTGCCATGTTTTTTTTTTTTTAATTTTTTTTTCAACGTTTATTTATTTTTGGGACAGAGAGAGAGTATGAACGGGGGAGGGGCAGAGAGAGAGGGAGACACAGAATCGGAAACAGGCTCCAGGCTCTGAGCCATCAGCCCAGAGCCCGACGCGGGGCTCGAACTCACGGACCGCGAGATCGTGACCTGGCTGAAGTCGGACGCTTAACCGACTGCGCCACCCAGGCGCCCCTCACATTGCCATGTTTACTGGTTATTATCTACAATTTGTAGTGTCAGTAAAGATTTTAGTATTTTTTTTAATATTTATTTTTGAGAGAGAGAGAGGAGACACAGAACCAGAAGCAGGTTCCAGGCTCCGAGCTGTCAGCACAGAGCCCAACATGGGGCTCGAACTCATGAACCATGAGATCATGAGCTGAAGTCAGACGCTCAACTGACTGAGCCACCCAGGTGCCCCAGCATTTTAGTATTTTTATAATCTATAAATTACCCAGAAGTTTGATTTGGTGTGTGTTCCGTTTTTCTGCTGTGGGGCGACCTAGAAGCTTTGTCTCTTCATTATAACGAAGTGTAACCTTGGTACCCACTGCATTTGTTTGTATTTTATATCCCAAACGCTTAGTTAGGATATGCAAAACAGAACCAGAGCCTCCTAACAGGATCGAGGTAATTATACCGAAAAAGGTTACGTTCCTATGTTAACACTCCTAGCAAACTGGACAAGCCAGATTTTACAATTACATTTTATTAGGTATTTGCACGGACTTATTTCTGTTCATTCAGCAGATACCTACTGTGCTCCTACTACGTGTCAGGCTCTGTGCCAGCTGCGGGGGATATGGCTTCTTCCTTGT